AGTGAAGAATGCTCAGAGTGACAGAATGCTCAGCTCCCACTCCAAAATCCCTGACCACACCCAGGGGTATCCCCTGGGAACCCCCAGGATCCCTGTCCAGAACTCCCTGCCAAAATTCTGCCACATCCACTCGGTTCTGCCTTCCAAGCCCTCCCTGCTCCCCAATCCAGGGGCTGTCCTGTCACCAGCACTCACCCACATCTCCCAGAACCAGCAGTGCCCAAATCTTATCCCAAACCTTTATCAGCCATCCCCTGCTCCAGCTGCTGGGCAAGGCAGAGCTGCCCATGGCTCCTCTGGAGCAGCCAGGGGTGGGTGATGCCCAAAGCCACACACCCTGGGGGGACAGGGGGGTGACACTGAGGGACCACCCTGTCCCCAACACCCCAAACTGCTCAGCAAGGGCTGATGGCAGAGCTGGGAATGGGGGAGCCGCAGCCTGCAGGGTGTAAATCACCCCCTTTCCCTTTAAAACTCTGCCCTGCAGCTTTCCCAGGGATCATCAGACAGCAGAGATAATTCCTCTGCTCTGAATCAGAGGGATTCCCAAGGGAATTCTGCTGCAGAAACTGGCTGCTCCAAGAGGAAGAGCCACAACAAGGGGCAGCACTTCCCCCACCTCCTCCCGGTTTTCCTTTGGGATAAAGCTGAAATCCTGAAGGAAAAGGGGCTGTGATTGGTGTTAATAACACTGGAGCTACCCCTGGCTGTCACCTTGGAAAAGAGGGATGGATCCCAGCAATCTGCCTCCCAGGGAATTGGTTGCTAAAGCAGCAGCTGCAGGTAGGGAAGAAGTGGAAGAAAACAACAGGGAAAAATCAGGGAAGAAAACAGGTGTGTAAAGGAAAACCAACCCAACCGTATCCTGAAGGGAAGGACCTGCTTTGGAAAGCTCAGGCTAAGTCCAAATTGTGCCAAAGCCAACGACCCAAGTTGCCTGGTTTGACTGATTTTTGTTTTTTAATCCAACACCCCCCAGCAGAGGTTTGGCCTCTCGGGGAGGGCAGCTGGACAGCACAACACTCCCGGGATGCTCTAGCAGTTGGATTGGTTTCTAACTCAAAAAAAAAAAAAAAGGACATTTTTATATATATTGAACATAAATTAAAAAAAAAAAAAATTACAAAATGGTTGCTTTCTTACAGAACGGATGCGGACTGGATTTATGGACGTGCCTCCGGGTGAAGTCGGTTTCTCCCCCTGCCCCCACCCCACCCCGCTAATAAATAAATAAAATTCATGAAGTTTTGGATCCTCTGGCGTTACTGGGGTTTCTTGCCCGTGCCGTTCTTGTCCGCAGAGTTCGAGGTTACCAAGTTCACGGGGCCGTCCGCGTGCAGCGAATCCTTGCGCGGCGGCATGCGCTC